AGCCCCTAAAAATGTAAGAGCAAGAAGTCTGATCCATCACCTAATCCACAGTCTCTGATAGAAACACTACCCTTGCACATCCTCACACAATTGCCCACAGTACTGATATCTCAGAGACACTAAATACTGTAATAATTAGAACAAATAGGCTACACACACCCCACAAAGGAAATCTTTTTCTTATATATGTGTGTGACAAATTCATTCATTCTATAAAAATGTGTCAAATACTTGCTTAAATGTTCCAAGGATTCTTAGACCTTGGGAAGAAAGCAAAGAAAAGCAAGAGAAAGATCTCTGTCCCAAGGAAATTATATTCTAAGGGAAAGGAGAAAAATAAAAAAGCAATAAACATATATATTAAAAAAATAAATATATATACATATATATCAAATTGTGTTGTAAGACTGAGGAGAAAAATAGGAAGGATAATGAAATGCTAAAGCAGAGGCGGTATCATTTTAAACATGACAGTCAGAGATATTAAATATCCTGTTTTTAAAGTTTGGTGTTATTTTGAATCTATATGCAGGCACTAACAAATGTCATTTGTAAACAAATGCTAGAAACTCACTCAACTGAGTTTTTCTCAGTGACACAATATGAAACAACAAGTTGCCTTACACAGGACATTGGACATTTATGCACAGGAAGTGTTCATTAGTGATATTATTCAATTAGATATTCATGTTAAAAGAAAAAATGCTCTGCAGTTTCTCACTCAGAGCTGAAACACTACCTAGAGGCAGAATAAGGATCATTAGGTAGATAAGTGATGAAGAGAAATTTGTGATGTATGATCCCTTATACAAAAGATGCCAACTTAATGACTTCATTTTTGTAAACAAAAGGATGATAATTTCTATTCATCCTTTGTCATGCCAGGCATAACAGACAGTTATCTCTTTTAAGAAGAAATAAGACAAGAGATTCTTCTCATTGATTGAAATCCTCGTTTTACCACTAGCAAGTCTTGCACGAGTTCCAACATTTCTAAAATGAAGATAAGCACAGTACCTTCTTCACGATGTTATCATCCAAACGAATTGCGCTAGTATGTGAGGGAAGCATTTAGAGCCAGTCTCAGGGCACAATAAGCAATGAGAGTTTTCTATTATTAGTTTCAGAAATAACTTTCACCTCTCTGGAATTTTAAGCACAGGCATATAGGTAAAATTTCTGCCACCATTTTCCTGAAAGATAAATGAGTCTCGGGAAAAGTAAACACCCTGGGTCCAAAACTGGTCAGTGCTGCAGCCCAGAATCCAACCCAGAGTAGCTGCAGCCAAAGGTGGTCTTTTCCACTGCAAAATTGGGAGCTTGATAGAACAACTCAGAAATCAATGAGAAGACTACCGATGACCAGCCCACAAATGCTTCCTGTACTGCTTTCCACACAACTTTTTACTTAATCATCCTGAAGAGTCCTCTTCTGGAAAAGTAGATTCCAAAATATGAAAATACAGTGTCGCTATGATACTCCTTAAGATCCAGTGCAGAGGTTACACTGCCATAATTCTGTTCAAAAGAAATCCAAATGGGAAACTGAAACTTTGGTCCAAGAGCTGAGAACCACAATTACTTGGTCCTCATTTCTCATAGACTCATTAATCATTAGATGAAGGATATGAAAACTTAGCTGTAAAAGCACCATAGTAGTTTGAACTAGGTTCTATTCCATTTTTCTGATTTATTAGAAGTGTTCATCTATTTCACTGGTTGGCACAGTATGATCCTGGACCAAATGCCACTCCTTTGCTCATTTTTCTCAATGAGGTGTCAGAGCTTCTCGAGCCATGCCCAATTTTTTATTCATTGTCTATGGCTACTTCCTCACTACAGCAGTACCCATGAGAAATGGGAGGATGGTTGCATGGCAGAGAGATGGCAATCAATGTTTATTAACTAGCAGGCCCTTCACAGTGAGTATAGCTAACTGAACAATTCCTATATAAGGATTTATTTGTGAAAATACATACCTAGTGCATGTGCTGGTACACGCACGACACATGCTCAGTAACATTGATAAATAGATATTAAATAGATATCTGCGTCTCACACAGTAACAAGAAATAGGGACATTCAAATTTGTCACAAGCAGCCTAAGTTAGCAAATAGGACATCCCTTCCTTTATCTGAATTCAATAACTCTAAAGAAAATGCTTTGGGTATTATATTGAAAATTCCTTGATTTCAACAGGTTCAACAAGGACAAATTTATAATCTGTGTATACAGACTATCATCAAGAGAAATAGCTTTCTACAATTTTATAAGTCACATAGAAGTCACAAATGATTGATTGTGATGGCAGATAGACAGGAAAGAACACAAATACAAATACATGTCAAAGGGAGATTTGAATCTTTGGAAGGCAAATTACATTAACTTTGGTGTATATTAACCTAGTGTCACTCAGCACCAGTAATAGGAAATGTACTCATCATAAATCATACTGACTTAGAATCTCCTTGGTGTTTTAATTTTCTTAAGGTCTTTATAACAATGTAGAAAACAATTTTTTGTTCTTACAGAATAACACATTGTACCCCAGCAAATTTTCTTTACCATAATGTTTCTTTTAGAGAAAGAACCTTGACAAACTGAATTTAATTTTTAACTTCAAGCATTTTTTTGGATAGTAAATCTTTTTTTAGGGATTAGGTACAAAATATGCAATGAATGTTATTTTCACCATCATGATCTTACATACAGGAAAATAGTGGAAACACAAAATGATAAAGACATTTGTGATTGAGGCTGGAATTGTAAGATAGCTCCTTACAACTCCATGGAGACTGTAAGGCTTAGAGTAACATCAAAGAATTGTTTCTTTGTTCATTCATTCATTTATTTCCTGAATATTATTGTGCACAGTATATGCCAGACCCTATACTGCTCTTTGAAAGAATAGGGTAGCATCTCCAAAGGACAAAAAGGCAAAAATAAGCAGATAAACAAGTGAAGGAATAGGATCTATTCAGATTGTGACGATTAGTGTGGATTGAATAAATAGGTAGCCACAGAGAAACTAACCTGGAGAAATATCTGTCACTCAAAAAATAATTTTCACTGGATCTCACTTTGTTATCTATAAAATGAAGAAATTATCTACCTTATAAATAATGTAAACAATAAATGATTCAATAAAGTCCCTGATACTATGATTAAGATATGTTAAGTATCATGTAAGGTGTTATTAGTATCAAAGGTGTTCATATCACTTGGCTAAATCCTTGACATTTTCTCAATAATGGGAAATCTCAACACTTTACGTCTCACTTCCCTCAGTTAAGTACACTGCGTAGAAGGGTGAAAAGCCTTCCTCACTTATGCACAGAATCCAGCTCTGCAGACTGTCACAAGGCTGCTGCTGGGCCTAAGCCACT